TATATATAATATGATGATTGAACATCATCATTCAAATTATTCAACAAAACAATATGTAACAAAACAACAATATTTAGTCAACAATGAAAAAGAATGAATTTGTTTCCCATATCATTGAACGTGTCACAGGTGGGCACATGACCGTCTGGACCAATGGTAGGGGTGGGATGGCATGGCTGGGTCCCCATTGGCCGGTTGTCAGCAGGTTGGGGCGTGAATGACATATAGATTCTATATGCACCTCGCGCGCGCGCGCGGCTCACTGTATCTCGCGCGTACGATAGTAAGTCGCAGGCGCGATAGTTAGCGAGTTAAAACCCACATGAGAGGCAGAGCAGGTGGGTCATGGTTTCACCATTATAGGGAAAAATGGGTCATTTGGCTGCAGATGCTGCTGATATACACAATACTTACTGAATACTTACTGTATACCCTGGACTACACCAGTGCGTTTCCATCAAGTGACTAACTAACGCAGCTAATTCGCTTTGGCTAGCTTGACAACCAACGCCACCGGAAGCTGTCAGGTCAAGCGCAGCCCGCGCAACGACTCGACAAAAAGCTGCGTTAGAGAAAAACGCGCGGGCCCGCACCATAGACTGTATATAAGGAGGCGCGCACTAACACTAAACTTTGATGTCAAGTAGGGGGCCACAAAATATCGTCCAGCGGGCCGCGAGTTTGAGACGCCTGGTGTATAACATCCAAGAATTCAGCTCTTTTCATTGTTTCTTTGTTTTTTTATTATTCTGTAGCAAACCACACCCACAGTGATGTCATGGTGAATGAGCTTTTGATTCTTTAGCACCTGTCAGGAGGAGCAGAGTGTAGTTTCAATGAGGTGTGATGGTTTTTACCACATCTGTAGTAATAGTGTTGTTAACAAAACGATGTACTGTAGTACAACTCATTCTTCCTCCCATCCTTATTGAATTATTAAATGTTTTTGAGTCCTTCCACATCCTTGAACTTCTTCTTCCCCTCACACAGAGAGAGAGGGATGCAGGCAGCCACTGTGTCGTCTCCATGGTGTCAAGCTCCATCACCATCCAGGACCCGCGAGACTCTCAGAACCGGCGCTCGTTCTGCTTCGACTATGCCTACTGGTCCCACAGCGGCTTCTCACGAGACCGCAGGGGCCTGTATGTGCCTGAGGAGGAGGGGGGGCGATACGCTGACCAGGTCAGCTCCAGGGAAGGATTGGTACAGTCATTACAACCAGCGTGTGGGAGCTTTGTGTTTGAGTCTGACATGTTTTCCATCCCCAGGACAGCGTGTTCCAGGACCTGGGACAAGGAATACTGGAAAATGCCCTGCAGGTAACTGTCATTATCCATCACAGCCGTCTTTGTTCCCATCTATCGTGAGGTGTTTTTGTTCTGTGCTCCTTGGCCAACATGGACTCTTCTGAAGGAGCACAATCATTTTAATAGTAAATGTCCTGACTCAATGTGTGCAGGGTTACAACGCCACACTGTTGGCCTACGGGCAGACCGGCTCCGGGAAGAGTTACTCCATGGTGGGCTACGGGCCCAACAAAGGTCTGGTTCCTAAACTCTGTGATCGACTGTTTGAGGCGATCAGAGAAAACCAGGATACCAGACAGTGTCAGGTAGTGTGTGTGTGTGTGTGTGTGTGTGTGTGTGTGTGTGTGTGTGTGTGTGCCTCATGTCATTAGCTGAGTTGTGATTATTGTGAAATGTCTTCAATGTTTTTGTTCATGATGTCACACAGGTCTTTTTCAGTATGATGGAAATCTACAATGAGCAGGTAAAGCAGCTACTTTATGTTATCATTCTTCTGTTTGTCTCTTTGCTATAGTGGCTTTGTTTTTTGTCTTGGAAGGATACACAATGAAATAGTTCACTGATTGGAAATAGTGGGACATGTGACTGCAGAGGGCGCTGTTGCTCAGTTAAAGTTACACATTGTTGCTTTAAGTTCAGCTCCCGCTCATCAACTTTTCTGTTTATAGTCTCTTTCTCTTGATATTAAAATACTTCAGAGGTCATTCATATATACCCAGACCTCCTCCTCCTCACCCTCTTTTATTTCTCTCTCTCATCCTCCAGGTAATTGACCTGCTGTCTCGGGGGTCTCGTTCGTCTGGGGCGCTCAGAGTTCGAGAGGAGCAGCAGAGAGGTTTCTATGTGGAGGGTCTTCGTACTGTCCCGTGTGACAGTGCACAACAGGTGAGGGGGGGGGGGGGGTAGAGAGAGTGAGGCTTCCACACTAAGACACAATCTGAGCTATTGCATTTGAGAACATATGAAAACCGTGTGTACGTGTAAATGTTTCTGCAGGTGGAGCAGCTGATGGAACAGGGCACCAGGACTCGAACCACAGCTGCCACTCACATGAACGCCAACAGCAGTCGCTCACACATGTTGATTGTCCTCCAGCTCAAGCAGGTAGAGTGAACACCTGCATCCATTTACATTTCTCGTGGCCGCATGTTATCTTCCGGCTTCCTCCAACAGTTGTAGTTGTTGTCGCCCTGTCAGATTTTTTCCAAAGAGAGCATCACAAAGCAGTCCAACATTAACCTGGTGGACCTGGCCGGCAGTGAGCGGCAGAGGTCGTCGGGGTCAGAGGCCGACAGACTCAAAGAGGGCACAGCCATCAACCTGAGCCTCACCACCCTGGGCAACGTCATCAGGTATTTCCACTGTTTCATTGAGTTTCTGTTTCCTTTGGTTTATCTGTCTTGCACCTCCTCTCCTCTCGCCTCCTAAGTGCTCTTGCTGATGTGGCAGTGGGGAAGAAGGTCATCCACATTCCTTACAGAGACTCAGTTCTCACCAAGTTGCTGCAGTCCGCACTGGGAGGCAACAGTCGCACTGTAATGGTAACAGACATTTCCTAGCACTGATACATTTTACAAAAAGCTTTGCTGGGTCATCTGGGCTTGATTTTTGCAAATGAAATACATTTTCTAGATTGCCACACTGAGCCCTGCTGACATTTGCTACGAGGAGTCTCTCTCAACACTGCGCTATGCTGAGAGGTACAACAAACCATCCCTGCACTGTGAAGTACCATGGCTTCCTCACTTCCCTTTATTTCAGCTGTACCCTATTAACAGACCTCACCCCTTGACTACCTCAGGGCAAAGCGTATCCAGAACAAGGCAGTGGTAAACGAGAGCCCCACTGAGCGTCTGGTCAAAGAGCTGAAGGCAGAGAACGCCAGACTCCTGCAACGACTGAGCCGGCTGGGCCAGGAGGGACGCAGAGCTCACGATGAGACCAGTAAGAATCACAGCTGCATTAGAAACGAGTAGAACTCCACAGGTGAAGGTTGGAGAGGTTGACATGTATTAAGG